CATACATACACACACACACGCGTATATATACATATATATATATATAGAATATATATATATCTATATATATATATATGTGGGTGTGTGTGTGTGTGTGTGTGTATATATCGATATTAATTATGTCAGACAGCCCCAAATTTCAGGTACACATAAACATTCTTTGTGTTGTAAAATTAGGGTTACCGTAACTGTACATGTAGTCGGTACGGTACTACATGCATATCATCAGTGATCGAAGTCCGACACACAGGCCAATAACACAATAATTAAGCTTGTATTTCTGTCACAACTAATCAATTCCTTGGCCTCAAAAACATATGTACATAACTACCAATATCATCATAATACGACTTCAGACAATAAAAAGAAGTTTTGACCTTTTTCACATATTTTAACCACCGAAGGATAATTTTTTCTCCTGCCCCCTTTTGTTTTTTGGCCCAAACTGTCCCATATTTGTCAACCGATTTTCTTTAAAAAGGCGTACAAATTCTCAGGACAATAAACCGCTTCATTTTAGACCTGTACATTTTATTTTATTTTTTTTATTTAACCGCATCCGACTTAGTCGGTGACAAAATTCTATTCTCCAGCTCAGTCGATCCATCATTGCTGTCTTCAGTTTGTGCCCTTCGAGACCAGTGTCTGTCTCCAGCACGTTCTTTAATGTTGTCGTGGGCCTTCCAACTTTCCTTTGGGCATCTGGCTTCCAAAGTAAATCCCTGCCGGCTGCCTCATCGTTTCTTATCACGTGACCAGTAATAGCAAGCCTACGTTGTCGAATGATGGAGGATAGACGTGGATGTTTACCGTACAGAGACTTGTTGGAGGTGTGCGACTGCCAGGAAACGTTTTGAACAATCCTTAACATTCGGGTGTATGTTCCATCAATTTTTTTAGTAAGAGCTTTCGTTAAGGTCCATGAGTCGGCTCCATACAGCAGTATGGACTCTAGAGTTGATTTGAAGAGTCTCATTTTTGTTGTTTTTCTGATTGGTGCCGACCACACTTTTGACAATGAGTGTAATGCACCCCACGCTTTACCAATTCTTGTGTCAATGTCATAGAATGTAAATGTGTACCCGCCAAGATACAGGAATTCGCCAACTTTCTCGATTTCCTGTCCGTCTAGTGAATTAATAGACACTTCTGATGTGGAATTGAGGTGAATAAACTTTGTCTTTTTGGCATTTAAAAAGAGAACAATGGATTGTGTTTGTTTCTTCACCCGATGAAGCAATTCTTCAGCATTCTTGACTGTATTTTCTAACAAGGCGATGTCATCAGCATAGGCAAGTTCTGGAAAGACGTCTTCAGGATGTCTTCTGCTTAGGCGTCGCTTCAGAATCAGTCCATCTGATGGTCGAAGGGCTTTTCTCAATGCGTATTCTAAGCATATAATGAAAATAAAAGGAGCTAATGGATCTCCTTGAAGGACCCCAGTGTTAATAAGAAAAGGGTCAGTATTGCCTTCTGGAGTAATGACAACGGCAGTTGTGTTAACATACATGGTTTTTATTGCTTCAACAATTTCAGGAGGGATGCCATAAGCAGCAAGAATCTTGAACATTAGGTTTCGATCGATGGAGTCGAATGCCTTTTTGAAATCTATGAATATTAGTACTGCTTCCTTCTTATGGTTTGATATCTCTTCGATGATCCTCCTCAAAGCAAGAATGTGCGCCGAAGTAGATCGAGACTGTCTAAAACCATTTTGACCAGAACGAAGAAGTGGATCTATGATAGGTCTGATTCTATTTAGTATCATCCTGTTGTAAATTTTTGCAGCTACAGCAGTTAAACTAATACCCCGGTAGTTATTACAAAGCGTGAGATCCCCTTTCTTCGGGATTGGAACTAGCCCTGAGACTCCCCATTCATTGGGTCTATTTCCCTTGAAGGTCTCAACACAGAATGATCTAAGAACTGTACTTGCATTCGGGAGCTTCCAAAGGTCGAGTGTTAGACCATCTAAACCCGGAGCTTTCCCTGATTTCATGGCATTCAATACTTCATCAACTTCTTCTTGGGAAAATGGTTCTGTTTTAATCCGGGGATTGATGTCAAACACAGGATCAATGATTGTATCAAGGCCGTCACTGCAGGCAGCGTTTAGTAATTTATGAAAGTGGTTTTTCCAACTTGTCAGTCGATCTTCACATTGAATATAGATGACATTCTTCTTTTTGTCAGAAAGTTCCTTGATGATCTTCCAAGCCATCTTGGGGTTGCCAGTGGGATTATCAAACTGAGAAGGCGTTCGATGTACATTTAGTATTTGAAATATTACCCTTTTTATCATGTAGAGCCCACCATTATTTATGCATTTTTGTTTTTTTTAAAAGCTAGTATAATAACGTCTTTCTACATATAAAGGATTTACACCGACACTAGAGGCACCTAAGGGTCGGTGGCCCTGCGGACTGCCACACGAGAGCGCATATGCGTACGCCAATGAGCATGACTGGGTATTACATTAATAATGGCTAAAAAACCCCGTCTTTTGTCTTCGTCTTTTGGCCTATTTTACATCATGATTTATGGAATCATTAGAAAAATCGGCGTCGGGGATACGTTGTGTTCGTCGTCAATCAATAGAAAATTAAAAATTAGTGAGTGGTAAAATAATCGAGCTCTCCTTTCGCCCACCGCTGGATCCGCCACTTAATTCAATGGTTCTTTTTTCCCTTTTTCCTCCCTTTAACTCTTTTCAATTTTTTCTCTGTTATCTTTATTTTTTCGGCGGCTGCCGGCTCCTGTGGCCCCTCGTTGGATCCGCCCCTGGATTTTATACATTGAAGTTATACATTTACTTTCAGTCATCAAATAATAAATAGTAGTTCAATTGAAGTTTATGATTTCCACTATGTAAATTAAGAAACTTCGCTCGACGTTGCGAAGCTAGAACTGATCTCTACTAAATATGCCCACTGTCTGATTTACGATAGACGTGGTTTAACGCGAAGGATTCATCCATCGCTGTGTTATCCTGATAAAATATGTTATAATGTGTAATGTTATAAATAATAATAATAATAATAATAATAATAATAATAATAATAATAATAGATGATCCGTCATGCAATATCATAGGCCTCCAAAAAACTAAATAAATAAATTGCATAACATGAATAAATCACCTTCTTTTATGTTTACTTTGAAATAAAAACTTGTGGAAAGAGAGGTCATTATTATGCCTCTACCTCATAGGCCTAAGTAAACTTTTGTGTTGTGTTTTGATTTGAAATGTAATTTTATTGTGCTTATCTGTATTTTAATAATGTAATAATTTGTTAACTTTAAAAAAAGTTAGTATTACTACAGTACAACTGTACTTGTTGTTGTTTTTAATTTAGTTGCATTTTTTTAAACTCCAAATACAGTACTGTATACTGTTATTGTATAATTGTTTAACACTATTAGTTTCTTTTAGTTGTTTTTCTTTCTCATTGAACGCACCAAAGTGTTGTGTGCCGCTGAAACAAAAGTGTATGTTCAGTTGAATAAATAAATGAATAAATATGGAAAACCAAGGAGAGCCACCTGTTGGTTGTACTGAATTTGGGTGCGGAACATTAGAATTTGGGTGTGTTTTGGTTGAATGTGTTGTTTAGGAAGGTGGATTTTATGAAGATGGTCGTGCGTAATCTTGCACGACCATCCTTCCTTTGTTGTAGCATTTTTGACAAGGACACATATTGGGAAGAGCCATGGTTAATGACTACGTATTGTCACATTTTAAATGTATGAGTACATTTGTGACAGGACACATAGTGTGATAGCCGAGGAGCACATGGAAATACACTTTGAATTAAAAACATGTGAAAACTTTTGAATTCCAGAATTAGAGTATATAAGAAATTTAAAACCCAATTCAAAATACCACTCTGTGCTTAATTTTTCATTTGATCTGAGCAAATCAGCGTGTAAGCAGAGAATGCAGGACGAGTACGCCTTTATAATACGTGAATAAAATATCGGCTGATGACGTGGATAAAAATGGCACTTAACTTTTTTTTAATTCAGCACATCATAAATGATAGTCAGACAATAAAATTCCATTTTTGCACAAAAATTTAGCTGTATTACATAGCAAACTGTACTATGATTGGTTGATATTTGAAAAAGCTGTCTCAACTCGTCTCAGTAGAGAGGTCTCTAATTGGAGTGCGAACTGTACTTCCATTCACAATCATCTTTTCCCTTCCGCACTTGCTCTCACTCCATTTCTCATCTCAGCCTCTCACTTTTATGTCTATCAATAATTTTATACATCTTAATGATTTTATCGGGCACAGTTATCGCAACGGTAGCATTTGTTTGGCTCTTAATCGTGCGGACCTCAGAAAAAGAAAAAAACATTTTTGTCCTCCGAATCTTTTTATGTCCATCCCTAATGTATGAAAAGCAGACAAACAAGAAATAAGATGGTGATTATTTTTATGCATACATTTTATTTAAAACCTGGAATTGCTGTCATTTGTAATCCTAAAGTAAGCAAATAATTAATTAATGGAATGTTTGAAACAAATAAATAAAAGTATGCTCGGGCTCTTGTTAGGTGTGGAATCATTTTTGGATAACACGTTTCAAAAGACCACAAAGTTTAACATCGTTGAATTAACATGCTGATGCAGGTTCAAGCTTTAATTTAAAATTATTGTTTGTAAAATGTTGCATCGAAACAATTTTCATTTATGTACCAACGCAACTGAGCTTTCATACTAATACCCTATTATTCGAATAAACTCCCCGCTCTGAATAAAAGACTCTCGCGAATAAACGCCACGGGGTGTTTATTTTTTCCTGAAGTCTCCCCAACCCCCTAAAAATCTAATGGAAGCAATATCATTCTCAACACATTCTATTTAATGTTATACTCTCAGTAGAATTACATTTTTTCTGACCTTGTGGATCAAAAAGTCTTTACGGCGGCTACTTAAAGACCCTACGTGTTAGGCCTATGGGTTATTCTCCTACCTTTACTTCCTTTTGATTAATTTTACATTGTACTTTTGTTAATTTAGTAGAATTATTTAGAATTTTTCTAACCCGGTTGGGATCAAGAAGTCTTTATGATCGCGCAATAACATAATTATGTATTTTTATTTCAACATTTACCATGAAATTACACAAAAATAAATAAATATATAAACGCCTCCCTCGAAAAATCTTCTCAAAAATAAATGCCCTAGTGCGTTTTATTCGAATAAATACGGTACATCACAAAAGATTTCAGAAATCAGTAAATTTGTAGATCAATAGTTGCTAGGTTGCTAGGATGGTTTGCAATTTTACTATTTACATTATCTCGCATGGTATATTGAACCTGCTTTTCATAAAATCGCTACGTTCTATCGCTGACCACTTTCGGTGACGTTGATTGGTCGGTTGTATCTTGAAGCTTGGACAGCTATGCAGTGTAACAATATTGTAGAGAAGGCAGTGTAGCACGTTTATGGAAACCAGGCTTCGCAGCTCTTGCAGTCATACGTGTGTTCAGATTATTTAGGCTTCATTTGGAATATATTATCGATGCTTCCAACCTTATTTGATTTGAAATATGATGGAAGATAAAACAGACAAGTATTACATTTCGATTGATTGCTAATTAATAAGTACTGTATCATTTATATAAAACGAATGTCGTCGTTACTTTACTTGTTAATGTTATGTTATTATTAATTAAGGTTATGTTATTATGGAAATGTGGCTTGATCAATATAGGATTTAACAAAATAATGTTGTTATCAGGTTGTGTAGTTTCACAGTACAGTACGATGAAAATCAATCACATTTTAGAGCAATACCTTAGATTTCGCACATGTCGATAATGTGTTCTTTTCGTTTGATTTTGTGAGTGCTCGTTTCTGTCGAATTCTATCGATGCTATTTCGAACCTTGAACAAGAAAACGAATCAAAACTATAATGGTTATTCCGCCTGGTAGTAGGTGGGGCAGTAGGCTACCCTACCCACTATCATAGCCATCTTCCATACACCCATGAACACTCCCACGTATGAGTGGTAAGGCAGGGGCATCTAACACTACATCCTCAACATTGCCTCTGGTTCGACTCTCCTGGCGTTGTGCAATGAAGTAAACGTCACATGAACCTAAGCGGTTCTTTACGCCTGCTACAGTCGTCACGTACTCTCCCATACGCATAGTTACGGATTCATCTCCTACAGTTTACAGGTTGCAATGCATTATAATAGGTTATGCTTAATAATTATGATGGATGAATCTTATGAGAGAATATATAGTTGTAAAATGAAAATATCAATTTCTTACCTCTGAGTTTCGAACACAGTAAAAAACAAACACGAAAACACCCTAGAAAAAGAAAGTTAATAATTTATCTTGGGCATATATCAGATGAGCAAAGGTTGTCAAGCAGCATATATTAATAATACAAATTTTAATAATAAATTAATTCTTTTTACAATCATAACTATTTATAATACTTTACAGTTTAATAACAATACAAAGGATGCTATCAAATGAAAAATATGATGACTATCATCATCATTATCGATATTGGATTTTACTTTACCTGCAACGAGTTGAATATTGTAAAGAGGTAAATGCATACAGTGTTAAGATTAGCAGCTACTCCGATCAACCAAGTTGTTCCAAGAATTGGAGCCAATACGATTGCACTCTTTGCTGCAGCCCTATGGATCACAAACATGATCATGCACTAATCACGATACGACCACAACGAATATGCCTGTATCAACTGATTAATTTTAGAAAGTGTACCTCGATGTACATTTATATTTATTTATGTAGACAGAGGTTTTCTTCAACTTCCTCGGCAAAGAAACAGGCAAATTACTGAAAATCCTTGTTATAGGCCTAGAACCAAAATAGTCGAACTTAATTTCATCTATGCATACGTCGTCTGTATTTTGTTAACATTGAAATATAAAAATCAATATTTAAACTTCTTACTCTATATATTTATGTATCTATAATCATAAATTAATAATTTGATAGGGAAAAATTCTACGTCAAGAAAGGGACAAGGTCTATGAAAAATGACGTTACTATAATGCCGTGATTGATAGATCGACTGAGTGATTTGTTGGTTGATTGATTGATTGATTAAATGACTGATTGAATAACAATGATAATTGATTGTTCAATTGTCATTAATTGTTGATTTATTAATTGATTGATAATTATTAATTGATTGCCGTTGATTGCACCTCCTATGCATTTTAGGCCTACTTTGTCTGTGTAACTTTGCTTGGTACTCCGTTTACGTCATCAACAGCACCCACGACAACAAAGAGCACCCTGATCAAGATCAGCAGATTCACCTGAAATAACACGCATAACAAGATGGAAACTATTAATTGATAATAGCCTTATCGATATCAAGATGTTTAAAGAAAAATATAATGAATGTATAAAACTAAAATAACGGCTATTTAGTACATTACATAATAATACGCTGTGGAAGTAGAAAGTTTACAAAAGAAATTCTTTTAAAAACTGTATTTTATTCGATTTTAGTAACATTTACTTTGAAATTTTTCTTAGCGTAGATAGAATTTAATTCCTGACTGTATCTATTAATAAATAGGCCCTATATATGTGATGGATATGAGCACAAAAAGGAGGAAAATGATACGAGATTGCATTAAGTAGAGGACTTCTTTTATAAAACATTCTCCTAATTAATATTTTTATTAATTAACAGCTATATTTATTCTTAGATTGAAAAGTTTCCGTACAAAGATGAACTTACAACTACGATCACAGCTGCCGGACCAAGAAATGCCCATATCATATCATTTTCCAACGATAGCCAACAAATGCTTAACATGTGAATCAGAGAAAGACATTTTTATTCACTGTTATTATTCTGCTAATAAAACATCAACAATTGCATGTAATGTTGGTTTCCATAAAATCGCTACAGGCTATTGATAGCTTTCGGAACGCTAATTGGTCGGTTGAATTGGGGGAGCCTTCTCGATCGCATCAGGAGCAGCTAGGAAGCTTAGCGCTTGCAGTGAAAACACAGTAGCGTTAAAGTAGCTAGCAATCTTATAAAAACCAGGCTCAATACTACTGTACATCATAACGTAGTTATATTCCTATACTTTTTTGACTCCAGGCATTCTTTGCTGAAATATATTCATATAGATTTTCAATAATTACCTTTCGGATTTGTAGTCTTGCCATTTAAGTGAAGCACTGAAGGCAACTATCACAATAGGGCATCCTTTATACAATGTAAAGAAAATATAGTTTAATACATACTCTAAGTATCAAAATGTACGCCATCGTGTCGGGATTCAATATTTCGACATTAATTATGTCGTCATGATGACATAATTAATGTCGAAATATTGAATCCCGACACGATGGCGTGCATTTCGATACTTGGAGTATGTATTATACTATCTTATCTGCGATTAATCAGTGGACCTTTCGGTCAATGTAAAGAAATCATACAATTATATACTGAGAAATCCAGCTTCTATATAAGGCCAAGATGAGGCACGCATTGTCCAGTAATTTGACATGAAAAGCAAAGAATCTGAAGAAGAGCCATTTACGTTAGGACAACTTTATCAGAGGCATTTTCAATAGAACAGGGATGCAGACGGGGGAGGGGCAAGGAGGTTCTGACCACTCCCCTCCCCCTAAAATTATTCAAAATATTTAAAAAATATCCCAATTATAGCAGTAAATGATCGGTAATAATTGTGAAAAAATATAATATATGAAATGTAAGCTACCCTCCTTTTATTATGATTTACAGAATAACTGAGCGATCCTTGCCTCAGACCCATGTATATAAATCTCGAATGTTATGCGTACAGTAATAATTAAAGTTGGAAATTAAAAAAAAAAAAAACATTTCTTAACAATGGTAACCCACTGTTTACCCGAATGAAAACACTGTAATTTATCACAGTATTATTTGGTATAATCAGGGAAGAGTGTAAATTAACTTTTTATGATACAGTTTAACCTTCCTGTGCAACCACCTCCCGTAAGCGATAGCTCCCTTAACGTCCACTCTAATTTGGTCCCGTTTGTTCTCCTTATTGATACGAGATTGATACGAGAAGATAGTGCACCTTCATATGTAGGACTATCAAACTGATATTATAGGCTTAAGAAACACTATTAAGAAAATAACATAAAAGCGATAATAAGATAAATTAGGCCTACGCTTTCTCACGTCCAAGAAAATGCTTGCAGTTGGTAATAGAATTATATGCCTGCTCTTAAGACTTAATTAAGTGAAGAATACAAAATACTGATAAAGTATTAATTGCACAGTGTATATTAGTTAAGTACGGTAAGAAACGTATATTTCAAGACAAATGTACATATGTTATATTACACTTTTATTGTTGTTGCACCTCTCTTTAGCGATTGTGCCTCCGTTACAAAAGAGAAACAATAAAGTTATTATTATTATTATTATTATTATTATTATTATTATTATTAAGACAAAAAATAGGCCTTCATTATTATTATTATTATTATTATTGTATACTTATATACGTTCATGATTATAAAATCATTAACCTTTGTCGGTGGAACCAGGCAAGTGTGAAATCCCACACCAAATTTATTTTTTTGTTTACACATTGCATGAGTTTTATAGAAATTAATGTGGTGAAACCTCTCAATTCTATCTTTTATCACGCAAAATAACACAAATTTTCAGGGTCCGTCGGCCCTGGATCCCGCCCTGGGGCCCTTATGGGCCCCTGGCCTCAGCCTGGTAGCTCGCTGCTCTCGCAATATTTGATCCCCCCTCAAAGTTTACCCTGGCTGCGCCCCTGTAGAAGGCTAAACGATACCACGATAATTATTGTAACTGTACATATTGATAACTATGCCTGATAGTGAAGATGTTACAGCTAGTTTGCACACTTAAACAATAATATGTTAAAAAGTAGGCCAGTATCCTGTGAATGACAACATCAAGTCAATGTCTGCCAAAGGTCTTGTAAAGGATGACTATTTTGACAAATACAAGTACCAGTACCTCCTTATTACTTTTTAAGAGTTTTGGTAAAACATATGTTTTTTTTTAGCAAAATAGTTTGATATTCATTACATACCCCACGCCGTTACAACGTAATAATGCAAATAACTTTTGCCAGAGCGATACACTTTTACCACCAACAGATATAGATGAAGTCCTTCCATCAGCATCCAAAAGAAAACTGATAGCCAGAGGTAGTGCATTGACAATGTAATGAATTGACAAATAACCTGCAAAAATGAGTTACAATATACATTTCATTGTAGAATTGTTTTGATCGTTAATAACAATGGATGTTAACTCAGGCCCGTAGCCAGGTTCTTCCAAAGGGGGGGGGGGGGTTTCTGGGCGTGAGGTCCACAGTCGATGCCCCGGTGGGGTCGGCGAAACCCCCAAAGCTAGAGGATTTTTGTGCTTTATGGGTTTAAATAAAGCTATAAAAGCAGATATATTTGAAAATGTCTGTGTCTGGGCGGGTCTGCAGTGCAGTAGTTGGGTTGGAGGACTTATTTGGGAAATTTAAAGAGGGGGTTTCGCCAGAAAAGAGGGGGTTTGCTAGAAAAGGGGGGTTCTCCCGAACCATAACCCCCCCCCCCTGGATACGGGCTTGTAACTTAATATTAAGCAAACCAGATGACAACTATTCGAATATTTACGGAATATAAATTTCATTGGTAGGCCTACTTGTGTCGGTCAGGATAGACACGTGGTTGATTTTGTTTTACTGCTATTTAATTTTAGTTTATACAGTTTCTATAGATTAGTTGCACTATTATTGATGTATAAATAATTGGGGAACACAGTATTTCATTTTTTATTTCATTCTCATCGAACAGCAAGTAGCTCTTTGAGAGCAGCTTAGCCCAGTCGGCTAATCTCTGGTGGTAGCCATTGTGTGTGCGCTAAACCGTGGCGATCTCTAGGTACCTGGTTCAATTCCAATCGCTGCTTCTTGTGTTTTCAGCTGGAGGGCTGAACTACAAGTTACAATAGCGCACCGTCTTTCGAATGAGACTTTTAAGCTGTTGGTCCCGTGTGCATTTATGGCCCATGTGCACGTTAAAGAACGCAGTACACTCTTCGGAAAAGACTAGGGGATTGTCTCCCGGTGTACTGCGCAATCACCACCAGAAGGACCTCACTGGAAATCTTCATCTAGACTTTCGTGGGCTATCCCAGTCATAAAAAAAAAGATGTTGTTGTCAAAATAGAAACCAGGACACTGGGACTAGAAGGCAATCATCTTAACTATACAACTCAAATCAACTCTAGTAGCGCAATGTATTTATTATACTGTTTTATCGCAGATAAAGTTGATCATCAAAAGTCTTTGTTAATATTTTCATGATGTATTTAATTAATTCTATATGTAAATATATTCAATTGTTTACCAACGTTAGGTTTCAATATTTGTATCTTGTTTGAAAATGAGCAAATGGAACATAAACTCAAATGGGTTACCTCTTTGTTTTCACCAAGTGGTCCGACAAGAAATACTATTTCGGCGAAGATCAGAGACAAGACAAAATTCTTATGAATTGCTATCCGAGTTGAATTTAATGATCTGTAAACTCAAATAAATCACAAATTTAATATATTTCAAACTGTGTATCGATATTTATTTTGACAGGCAAATGTGTAATTATTCTGTTAATTTAATAATTGTTGGCGAATGCAAATTTGAAGACTTACGGTATGCACATGAGAATGGTTATGGTGATAAATAGAGCAGCCAGTGAGATTCCGCATCCAATATACGTTATATAATTCAACGCCCTTTCGTGACCATTCTGCGGAGTGAGTATTCTGAATGTTAGAGGGAGGGCGATCCAGATGTGGTTGAGGTTGGGGTGGGTTGACATGGGAAAGAAGGCGCGAGGGGAGGCTATTTTCGCTACTAAAATTTATTCTCACGCATCGTACACTCACTGCTAATTCTAGGCCCGCAAGTTACTTGTTAGTATTATAATGGTTGATTACTTAGTCACTCATAATAATAATCATCATCATTAACAGTACTGTATCATCATCATCATACTCATCATGTTCAACATCAGCGTCATCATCATCATCAACATCATCATCATGGCGTTATCAACACTCATACTTATCCTCCTTCTCATTATCATCATAATCATTATCATCATCACACGCATAAACAGTTAATTCAATATTGTAATTCTTTTCCGTGAATTTTTAAAATTTTTAAATTAATTTCATGTATTCATTATTCAGTTATGAAAGATATGTTCCAAGGAAAATAAAACATTAACTGTATTTCCAGACATTGATGTGTTTAAATTGCATATATGCCCCTATATGCGCTGCAAATGAAAATCATTCTTATGCTTGTGCTTACTTTGAGTAGATAAATATAATGAATATATAAATCCAAATCGGCATAAGTTGTTTTAAGAACAAGATTAAAATGGGATACTTCATATTGCACTATAATATCGTCCATCTTGTTTCTGTTGGAAAAATCGTCCGAGAAATAAAATATTTTGATGAGATTTATGTAATAGGCATTACCGGTACATCTGCTACTTGTACCAATATCCCGAACGAAGTGGTGTGATTACAGGAACATTCGCCACTGTTATCTTTTCCACATCCGTACTCCGACCAATGCCTGTAAAAGAAAAAAAAATCATTTATAAAATAAATAGCAGTTTAAGTAAGAAACTTGGTTAATTTTTGTAGATATTAGAATTGTATTGTAATCCACAATCATTATATATATTATATATATATATAGGCCTATAATATAATATATCA